ACTATTATTTCCAATTTTGGATCATAATGTGCTAAAAATAAATCTGCTGTTAGAGTCGTAATGATTTAAATCGAAAGTTTTCTGACATTCATCTGACCATTCCCAAACTTTCTCCTTCTTCAGCAGTTCGTTTAGGGGTGCGCGTAATTTGTGCATGTTAGGAATAAATTCTTGATAATAATTTACTAAGCCCAAGAAGCTTTGTAACTTGGGTAAATTTTTTGGAGCCGGCATTTTTTTATTGCCGTGGCTCTTCTTTCTGGGTCTGGTCTTCTTCCTTCTTCGTTAATAATATGGCCCAGATATTTTATCTCCTTCATAAAGAAGTCACATTTATTTTCCTTTACCTTAGAACCGTAATTTTGTATCTGCCTGAAAACCTCTTGAACGTGTTCCCAGTGTTGTTCAATATTTTTGCTATTTATCAGGATGTCATCAAGTTATGCGATCGTGAAATCCAGTCCGCCTAGCATAGTATCCATTATTTGCTGAAATATTGCCGGCGCGACCTTGATCCCGAATGGTAATCTCTGAAACTGATATAATCCTTTATGAGTGTTTATGCACAACAACGTCGAGCTTTCCTCATCTACTGGTACTTGTAGGTATGCTTCGCTCAAGTCTATTTTTGAGAAAAATTTTCCTCCATTCAACTTTTTTGTGAAAACTTCCTCTGGACTAGGGAGAGGATAGTGATAATCCTTAATCGCTGCATTCAATCCCATCGAGAAATCAGGCGCATACAGATCTCACCCGATTTCTTTTTCACGTAAACCGTAGGTCCGGCCCATTGACTATATTCCACCTTTGTCAATATACCGGTTTTCACGAGTCTATCCAACTCTTCATCTATCTTTTCTAATGATGTGAAAGGTACATTTCTTTTCTTCTTGAAAATGGGTTGTACATTTTCTTTTAGTTCGATTTTGGCCATCATTTGTTTACACCTCCCGAGGCCGGCTGAAAATACGTCAGGGAAACTTTTCTTTAATTTCTCCTTCAATTTCTCTGCCTCGGTCGATAACCTTTCAACTTTTTGGCAGAACGTATTTATCGGCAAATCCCAGAGGTCAAATTTCTGCATCCAGTCAGTTCCAAATAAATTTTCCGTATTTTTTAGAACATACATCTTTAATTTCTTGGTCATCCTGTTGAACGTCACATTTGTGATAATCTCCCCCTCAAATTTTATTTTTCTTCCTGTTACCGACCTGGCTATTTTATCTGTTCTCAACATGGTCGGTTTGTTTAATTTCTTCCACATCTGTAAGCTAATAATGGTTAAATCTGATCCGGAATCTAATTGTAATCTGATGTTTTTGTTTAACATTTCTACTTGTACGTATTTTCGTATATTTATCCCGTCCACTTGGTCAGTTCTAGTGACACTTACTCGGCTTTTATTTTCTTTCTTTGTTCTACAGTGCAAACTTTTATGTCCAACTTTATTGCACGACAGACAAGTCTTATAGCAGTATGGACAATATTTGTACCAATGTAAAGTCCCACAGCAATAGCATGGACTGGGTGGTGGTTTCTTCTGAGGTTTCAGTTGACTTTTTGTAGTAAAATAATTGGTTTGGTTTGTTTTTGAGGAGGGAGAAAAACGTGTTTGTCGTTGTACTTTTCGTATATGAGCGATGCCAGTCTCTTCGATATCTTTCGAGTCCTTTTTTACACTCATACATCTCTGACAGTCCTCAGCCAATTTTTGTAGCGTCAGTTTTGGTTCACTCTTAAGTTTTGTTAGAATTCTCCGTCTGATCTCCGCATCTTTCGTCGAAACCAGGCCTTGGACGAATATCAAACTTTTAAAATTGTCAGGGCTGAGTTCAAATAACTTAAAGTCATCGCAGTGTTTGTTTACTACAGAAGCAAATGTTATATAGTCTTCACTATCCTTTTGTGTTAAATTTAAACATTTCCACCTTTTGTGGAATAGTGAAGTGTTCGAACTAAATAGTTCCGTTAAAAGTTTCACGGCTTCCCTGAAAGTCAACTCATTCATTTTCCTCAGTAGGATGTAGTCTACGAATTTAGTGTATTCGCTTGACCCTAGTTTCTTCAGTAGTAGATGTACTTTTTTCGCGTCTGACCAATTCTCACAATCAAACTCATATGAATCTTCATATCTTCTGAAGTAAGCCGCAAAGGTTTTGTCTTTGTCCGGTGCATAAGTGAAGTCTTTGATTGAGCTCCATATAGCATTTTGCGAGAATGCTGCTTCATTTTCAGAATTTTGTCCTTTATTTGTTACTGCCCGTAGTAGTAATTCTTGTAGTTCGAGTTGCTTTTCTTTGTTTTTCTGTTGAATTTCTAATTGTTTTTCTTCGAGCCTAGTCCGTCTTTCCTCATTTTTTTTTTTTTGCTGCTTGAATTGCATTTTCATTAGTTCCAATATGGTTGCCTTAAAGTCTTCCATGTTTACACCGTAATTTAATAATGACACAGGCTATCTGTTATCATGAGAAGTGGAGGAAAAAACTCACTTTTTCCCCTTACTTTTTCTTTTCGCAATATGTACTTTGTAGCTAGAGTTGTGTACTTGGGTAATGATTTTTCCTTTTTTCTCAGTGTAGTCTTCAGGTCTTTGTTGTCTGTTGTTCTGGAACCTTGGTACAAAAAATTTTCCTGCATAGAATTTGATTCTATTCTAGCTGACAAGTAAAATGTGTGTCTTCGTTACCACTGTTATGGTTGGTGTCCAAAAAGTTTTTTATCTTCGCGTAGAATTTGTGTTTTTTTTCTCAATATCTCTGTCGCCTCTGTTATGAACGACCGATAGCAAAAAGGTTTTTTTTTTTATATCCTCCGCGTAGAATTCGTTTCTTCAGTATCCTCATCGCCACTGTTATGGTCCAGGTTAGGACCAAGGAAGAACAACACAAACACAAGAGTAGAAATAACGAAGGTATATTACATGAAATAATAATACAAGATGTGGAAGGTGTTAGTATGACTGTCAGTCTGGTTTGGAGTGAACTACTATTGGCTCGACTCGATTCATCCCTTTCTCTTGAGAGGCGTAGTATACATAATGTTAGGAAGAGTTCATCCTGTAGTTATAGGTAAGGACCCATGACAGATATGTCTTTAAATTTTGTTATTAGGTACATTTTTACTTCTCATTTGCATTCATGGCTAAAAGTTTTATGGATGCAGAATATTGTGATGAAAAGCAACAGTAAAATTGCTAAAAGTAAGTTTACTAAAGTAAAGTTAATAATGAAAATGTTATAAAAATTTCAACAATGACAACTTTTCATTTGAAAAAATATGCTCCAGAATTGAAATATATAAGTAAAACTTAGTAAAGTCTGTTTGTTTATATATTGGATCAGATTTCGTACATTTTTCAACCGATTTCAACAAAACTTCACAGGACTACGTAAAATTACCTTGCGGTGGTTCTGACAGCGCCAAAAATTAGAAAAACAATTGTTTTTGCATGAAATCAATTTGATAACACGATTAAGAGGCATCGCTGTCGAGAATGGAAGGGGGACACCTCATATCAAGTTATACTCATTATAAAACCCAGGTTGTTTGTGTGTGTGTGTGTTCGTTTATATATGGGATCGGATTTCCTACATTTTTCAACCGATTTCAACAAAACTTCACTTTTTTTTTTTTTTTTTTTTTTTGGCAGGTAGTGTTTCTTATTGTCTTGCACACTTTTTTCTTTATTTTTACATTCAGAATGCTTTAAAAATTCCATTTACAAGACAATTGTTTATAATAAAATTCTATTCAATTGATAGACTCATAACGATTGAAAACAATGCTTTTGTTTGAGTTTGGGTTTGACCAATTCATAAAAAAAAAAACAAACAAAAAAAAAACTAATTAAGACATACGTGTATTTTTCAGTCTTTATGATGGTCGATACTTGATCTATCTCTTACTGTTACATCCCCGAGCAAACTACTACTAGTTATTAATAATGTTTGAAATCTATTTGGTTGAGTACTTGAGTTCTTACTTTGCCTTAAAAGAAACAGTACTTCTCCATTTATCATTTAAATTACAAGAAAACTATAAATCCTGTCAAATTAGCTGTTTATCTTGGCAGTTTATGATTTTGCCCTATATGTTATCTTCTTTTGTTAACTGACATTTCCATTAAAACTTGTTCTTGTAAACCATTTGATAAATCTAGTTCTCTTCATTGCTATGCAGTTCAGTTTGCTTTACTCACAAAATTTTTTCCCCTTTAGTGCAGGTTTTTAAATATGCTTTGTTTCTATTAGGTGTCATCACTAGTGTGGCCAGAAGCATCTCAAACAATTTGATGCAAGACATGTACTCATGGCCCCAGAAAAGGATAACTTTTTTATGCATATAAAATTTCACTAACATAGTTGCTTTTAAAATGTTATTCTACAAATAACAACTGATATTTTTCTATAAATCATAATAAATATTTTATATAAATAAATATAAATCATAATAAATATTTTACTTGTTATTTTAAAGGTCTGAGTGTATTTAAACTTAAAATTTGTATTAAAAAGTAGTAAGATGAATACTTGTCCAAAATTAATGACGATATTTTATCTCAAAATTTTTACTTATACCCAAGTTGAATGAACATTGTCACAAAAGTTTCTTATAAATAGTATCTGAAATTTTGAGCTGAGTCATTACTATACTTGCTACCCATCCTTGTTCTTATGTTTTGTTTGATGCCTTCCTCAAGTATATAACTCAGATGACTAGAAGCAGATTCTGCAATAGATAGTTTTACATCTAAATATCAGATGTTGGTGCTTGGCATGAACATCTAAAAGTATATATTATAGTAATATCTTTTTGTAAGAGGAATTAGGCAGTTGAGGAAAGCTAAATTATGGATTGGTCAAAATATAGTCACAAAATCAAACATGAGAATATTAGTCTGAACAACTCACAGAATATTACCTATAAATATTGTTTATGATGATTCCTTCTCAATATAAAAGCAATTGCTTTTTTGCCTGAAAATTTAATGTCTTTTTCAGGAACAATGATTCAATCCCTGGCATGGAATAATTCTTGTAATATGCTTGCTGCATTGTCTGATGACCGGCTGCTTATTTATTGTTATCCCAATGCTATCTATGCTGATAAAGACTTATTACCAAGTGTGATTGATGAAAGGGATTCAAGGTGAGTGCAAATACATTTACAGTTCAAATATTTATCTTGATTAAAACTTCAACTTATTTCTTTCACTTATTCAAATATTCTTTTTAGTTTTGATGCTTAAAGTTTTTTTGTTCTAAATCAGTAAATCAGAACAGCACATAAATTTGTTTAGTTTGGACAGTCATCTTCATCAGTTTTAGTTTATCAAATATATTCCTGGTCTGAATACTTTCATTGTTGAATGTGCATGTATATCTGGTATGGTATCTGAAAACTTTAAGGGACAAAAAGATCAAAATACATGCCACAGAGATGAAGTTCATAGTCTGAAATGTTGAAACTAAATGACAGATTATTGCATATTGAACTTTATCGCATTAATCACTTATAAGGCTGGATAAAGTTCTTGTAAGTCTTTCTTGAATGGAATCTGGATCTAACAATATTGGATTGCAATGATTTTCATGGATACTAAGTGTAGTTTTATACACTATATTTAATTATTAAATGTTTAAATTACATTTGTGAGATAATTTTAATATAAGAAGGAACTTAAAATAAAATGTCAGTCTTATGGATATATTCTTATATCCAGCCTTGAAAGGAAAAAACATTTTTTCAAAACAATTGTTATTTTTTCTCTAGAAAAGAAACAGCTAAACTATATTTAAGTATCTCTTTCTGCTTTCTATTTCAAATGAAAACAAATATCTTTTTTCAGTCTTTCTTTATTTTTAAGCTAGACACCCAAGATATATTTGTGTACCTGAAGAAGTAATCATTGTGATTCAATATTAAGTTAACAAAGATGAAGTCATCCTGGCTCAATAATCTTTTAATAACAGACTCTCTCTTTGTTCCTGGTTCAACAATTGTTGCATATGATGAAGACAAGTTTTGTGAGCTGATTTTGCAACAGTCTGCGACAATTCACTGTTGCCATTACAAAAAAAATCAATATTTGTAGTGATCAAATGCAATTCTATTTTGTCGTGGTTTTTACTCATGACTGATTCACTTCCACTGTAAGTTTATCAACTCAACTGCCTATGGAAAATTCAAACCAGATGAATCATCTCATATATACTTATTTGGTTTTGCATTGTGTAACCCTTCTGTCATCTTTTGTTATGACAATGTATTTTTATATCTTATTACTTGCATTGATTTCAAGCTTTGTTGTTACTCTATGTGCACTTTCATAACAAATTATTCCTTAAGCTGAAATTTTGATTTACATTTTACTAGAATTTCTGTATGTGGGCAGAAATATATCACACAGGTTTTATCCAAGTAAATTATATTCATTTTTCACCATGAAAAATTATTTAAAGGATATCTAATATACCAAGGACTCCTGTTTGAATAGAGTATATATAAAAATAGTCATTTCAAAATGCTTAAACGCCTTTTTCAGGACATGGGCGATCATGGTTCTCCACTGCTTCCTGTTCATTGTAACTCTGAGTAATGTTTGTCCTCTTAATCCCCCAAACCTCCCTCTGCCATCTGTTTATTTAAATTCATTAGGTAGTTTACTTGTTTTTTCCTTCTATCCCTCTTACTATCAATATATCTTGTGATTGTTAAAATCTCCAAATTCTCTTTCTTCATTATGTGTCCTAAAAATTTCAGCTGTCTCTTTCAGCTTGTATGTATGAGTATCCTTTTGGTTCCCATTTTTCTTAATACCTTCTGATTGCCCATATTTTCTGTCTATAGTATTCTCAACATGTTTTATTTTAGATCTACATCTCAGTTGCTTCGATTCATCTCCATATCAGAGATTATCCAGCATTTACTGTCATCCAGGAGGATAGATATGACATAGCAGCTCAACACTTTTTCTTTGTTTCTAAGAAAATTTTCCCCTCTCTTAATACTTTGTTCAGTTACTAAAAGGCGTCCTTCATTGTTCCAATGTGTCTTTGGATTTCTTTGTTGCATTTTTCATTGTCAATTATGACACTATGCATATAGTTAAATTTTTGTATCTGTTTGATTCTGACATTTCAAATTTTTTAAATAGACAACATTTTCTAATCTTGTTAATCAATATTGTTTCTAATATTTGCAATATTAATGTCTGACATATTTTTTATAGAAATTTCAATTATTCCAAAATGACATGCTCTATTTGCACTTAAAATGCTAAATTACTTCTTATGAATATATGATTCTCTTTATGTGTATCTGATATTCATGCAGGAACATGGTATAAATACATTCCATTTTTACTCAAATTTGACATTTAATTATTTACATTATTTAGACTGTTGTCCTCATCTTTATTGCCATATTCACGTTTCCTCAAGGACACATGGATAAAAGCATTGGTTAGATCCAGTGACTTGACCCAATGAGTTGTGAGTTCAATACCAGGCTACTGCAATGGTGAACAAAAACTTGTAGAGTTAAATTAAAGAGAGATAACTGAGACATCTGGAAGAGGCATGGCACATGGAAATAGAACACTCTACAACCCCCCCCCTTCCAGGACAAAATGAAAGTTGGTGTATATAATGGGCAAAATGTCATAAATATGGCAATAAAGATGAGGACAATGTTCTGAACAATATAAATAGTGTAAGTAATTACAATACTTCATCTCAGAAATATAGACAGATATTGATATTAATATCAATAATTACTCAATTTACTTTAAAACACAAATAATAATACAATCACTTCACAGTGGCTTCAGTAAATTAAAGATTGATCAATTTTAAATGTGCCATTTATGGGTCAGCAAAATGTATTTTTATACAATGTGATGAAAATCCCTGTGGGAAGTTAGCAGATGTGGTAGAGTATGTTCAAATTAGCCCAAGAGTACTGGTACATAATTTCTTTTACATGGGTAATTATTTCAGAATAGCCAGAAGCAATCCCTCTTAAACCAGTCAATATTCAGTGGAGAAAGCAGTGATTGACTGATATACTGTATGAACTCTTTTAAGACACTATCATCTTTTCAGATTGAGCTCAATTTTCAAACAGATAAATATGCATCTAGAGATTGCTAAGCCAAGAATTTTGTTTCCATGTCCTGCAGCTGATTAGTAGACATAGTTTTTAAAGCATAAGGCATATCAATTCTGAAAAATATGTATTCATATTTTATTTATCAGTAATCAGTATTTGCTGATAGTTAACTGGACAAAAGCTATATCATTTTCATTGAAGGTGGAGTAAACTATAAAAGTGGAGTAAAAATAATTCTCACGGCAAAAAGAGTTACTTGAAATTTGCTTATTAAAAATATCCTTCAGTTCTTTAAATTGCCGAATAAAGACTCTTGTTTGAAAATAGAAGTCTCTTCAAAGTCTTAAGTACACATTTTTTTATTATTATTCTATGATTATTTCAGATAAACATCTTCATCTATGTTTTTATTATGATATTCTTGCCCATTCTCTTCAGCCTTTTTATTTATTTTTTTTTAGTTTATGTTACATCCAGTAACCTTCATGAATCCAATGGGATAGAAACTGTTGACCATGTTCACCATAGTCTATGAATATAGAATACAGCGCAGTACGTAATCTGTTCAATGAAACAACATTAAAAATTAATACTCTCGAGTCAGATATTTTACTGAATCTGACTATATCGCCAATACCACCAGCAGCTGTTCCATAATTCTTCAGTCTTCGGTATCAAAGGCTGGCAGTGAATATTTGGGAAAAACATGGCTGCCTTTATACACGTCACATTGAATATTTTGAGCCTTCTGATTGGTTAACCCTTCTATTGGTGAACTATAAAATGAGTAAGCTCATTTTGGCTGGCTCACTAGTACACCAGGGTACCCAAAAATTCCAACAGAAACAAGAAAGATTAGAATGCTAAACTAAAAATAATCATTTAACAAGAATAAAATCTCATCTTGGAAATTCAGACACTGTTTTTATTAAAACTTGGCTGTTTTTATTGAAAGGTATTAGATATATTCAGTAATACTTTTTATACTTTTATGAATATATCAGTTTTACAGAACTTAAAGCTTAGCATATCTCATATGTGAGCTATTATCTATGACTTTATGGATTATGATGATGATAAAAGAATGTAAAAAAATCAATAAGTGCATAACTGAACTCATGAATGGACAGTATTGTTAGTCATTATAATGATACATATCTATTGTGTCTCTCATTTTTAGGATGAAAAATTTTTCTCTTTTTATCTTGACAAAAGCCACCACATGTACATTATGGAAAATAAATCTAAAAATAATCACCCCTTGCATTCAAAAATAAATGATAGTTTCTATCAATGTATTGTCAGTATTTCTTAATTACAATTTTATATATTTGTTATTAACCTGGAGAAGACAAAAACAAATTTTTGTTTAAAAAAAAATGATTAAGCCTAGCTTTATCTATGAATATTTTATGAGATGACAGATTTGCAGAAAAAAAATCTGATGTCAAGATTACTAGTTTATAATTTCTTGCCAAAAGCTTATGATCATTTGATTCAAATTGCTTTTAGTTTACATCATTTTCATCAAGTAAAAGGAATTATTGGATGTAAATAATAAATCTCAATAGAGAAGAAAGATTATTGTAATAAATAGAACAATTGGCAGAAATGAAGAGAAGTATTGATTTGGCATTGGCTGTATACCAAATTAATTATTTCGGAAAGAATAAGGATTATAGGATAAAAGATGTAATAGAAATTTACAAAATATTACAATAAAACTGGAATTATGCTATTTGGCTTTAACAAAATTGGAAATTATCAAAACATTTGTTCTTCATTTTAGTTTGTATGCTTTAAGGGCATATGAATCTTTTGTCCTGGAAAAATTGTCTTTCATAAACAAGACTTCAAACTAGGTTGATCAAGAAATGAGAGTTCATGAGTAACCATGTTTTCAAAAGTTTAAAAAGTGATTAATAAAAGTGCAAAGTATAGAATCACAGCCCAAATATTGAATTTGAAGCCAATTTTGTCTAAATTACATTTAACAATAGATAAAAAAAAACAAACAAATAAAGTCATAATCAAAT